GCAATATTTAACTGTTATTCATTTTATATTTGTATAAACCTCAGTCCAAATGGCCAGCAAATGGTGAACACCTTTTATTCTTTCTTTTATATTTTGTTACGATTTAAATATCAGTGAATGTATAAACAAACGTTTATCCATCCATCCATCCATCCATCCATCCATCCATCCATCCATCCATCCATCCATCCATCCATCCATCCAGCCATCCATCCATCCATCCATCCATCCATCCATCCATCCATCCATCCATCCATCCATTCATCCATCCATCCATCCATCCATCCATCCATCCATCCAAGCATTCAACCTTCATTTTCCCCTCCATAAAATTCATGGCGAAGATGTTATAAATAAGCACCTCATAAATTATTTGAATGCATAAATATAAATTATACATTTAAATGTATTATATAAAAGTATGTGTTGGAGTTATTTAAAACACGCGCAATCTATTGAGGATATTATTTTATTTCTAAAAAATTATTTGAGTCTGTCATTTAAACGTATATATCAATCAATTTTTCAATTTCAATTCGTTTATTTTCTCAAAAAAGGGGTAAACTAAAAAAGCAACCAAATGCTTGTAAGAAAGTCACCCTATCCAAATAAAATCAACATTGATCAACAAAATATATCAAATATATATAATTTAAATTAATTTAAATATAATTTAATTTAAACAACAATAGATGCGCTTAATCATAAAAACACATTAAACATTTTTATACAAACACAGTTAACATTTTTCTAAACACACATTACATTACATATTTTCTATAAACACAGAGGGTAAGCATTTTTATAAATACACGTTAAACATTTTTATAAACAGATCATCACGTAATTAAACCAAAACCTCTGATACAAACAAACAAGCACACAAACAAGCAGACAAACAAGCAGACAAACAAGCAGACAAACAAGCAAACAAACAAGCAGACAAACATCATCCAAACATTAAAAAACTTTCTGATAATTTATATTAAAAATGAAAAAGTCCTAAAAGAAAGAGAAATAGAATATACACATAATCGGTGAAAAACAGAAGCATAGAGAAAGAGAGGAAGAGAGAGAGAGAGAGAAAAGTGAGAAAGCGAGTAAAAGAGAGAGATAGCAAAGACGTGGAAGGAAATATTCTTATATATATATATATATATATATATATATAAAATTATATATATATATGTATATATATATATATATAGTATTGTGTGAATTCTGTGTGTGTGTATATACATATATACATATGGTCATTTTTATGTTTTATTTTCTAGGCTTATAAACATCTGCCACATACACACGTTCGTTCGTTCCATATATCTTTTTCGGTGGTGTCTATGTCGATTGATATTATTTAAACCGGGATATAAGTTGAAATGTAATCAAATTACTTAATGATAATTATTTGTTGATTATTTTTATTCAATAAATTATTTCAGTGAGATTGTTTTATTAATGTATAACATTCAAACTATTTATATATATATGTATATATATAACTTTTCAAATATACAATCTTGTCCAGTCTTTCAAGTTAACAGTTAACAACACAACAAAAAAATTAACTGTCACCAGCAACTTGCAATAATCCGAGTTTATGATTATCAAATGCAGACTAAGCAAGCTTGGTATCATCATCCGATTTTATTTTTACGGTATACTTTATGAATATCCTTCGATTTACGATTTTAAGTTTTAATACTGGTTGAAAAAGTTGACTGGTTAGAGGTTTGTTTAAAAAGAAATATATATTGTGGCTTATAATCTAAAAATATGATATAATAAATTTATACTTATATAATAAATTTGTGATTATCACTGTGGCTGTGATGGATATTTGGATGATGATGGAGTGAAGATTTAGGTGATGATGGTGGTTAACTGATGACTTCATTCACGGACGCACTGAAGGTTGGTTAATTTCAAATTCTTTCATTTTTTTTAGTTTTTTTTTGGAAGACATTTTTGAACGTTCGAATCAAAATTTGTATTTTGTGTACTATTTTTATGAAACTTCATTTCAAAAGGTTTCTCGTAGTATCCAGTACGTGATTTGAAAAGTGAAATTGATCGCTTTTTCAATATTTAATGGAGTGATTTTTTTTATTAATCATGTAAATTAGAACAACACACGTATGATGCAGTATTAAATATTTACTACGTTCAGTGAATAATTTCGCATTAACAATTTGAAGGTTCGATCCATCATGCGTTAAAAACGTTCCTCGTCACTGTAATTTTTTTGGCATGTATCAGCAGATATGTTGAAGTTAAAAGGGAAGGATGTGTTTGTTGTCATTTGATTACGTACAAACATATTTCATACGTACACACACGCACAAACTCACACACAATATAACATACACACATATAGACAGAGAGACACAGACACGCCTAGAAACACACTCACACGTTCAATATAGTCGTACAATTTGTATGTATTTGTATGCTAGAAGCTGTACGTTAACCAATAAATTTACTCAAGATCAAAATGGAATCATCGCCAGGGGAACATTAACTTTCTCATCAGCACAGCCATCCACCCTGGCTAACTTTTTTAAGCTTTTTTCAGAAAATTAAGAAATATACAATACAATGAACGCATTGCTGGTGCGTCATGCTATGATGTTCAGCTCGTTGTTAACTACTAACTGCTATCTATTAGTTCTCCACTTCTATTCACCTCTCCGTAATTCGATCTTTTTTTAATTATCTTGCTTGGTTTTTTGGAGAACATACATACATGCACGCACACATACACTCCACAAACAATTATATCGACATATGTGTGTGTACACATGGGCGTTTGTGTATGCACACTCACGTGATCCTGTGCATTGGATGAAGTTGGAAGTTCTCGAGGTCAAGAGGTCAACTGGCGTTTTGATGATGATGATTTATCAAGTTGATGGTTGGTTC